GGGGGGGGGGGGGGAGGGATGTAGCTACACCTCCCTGTTAGAGATACTGCCCCTGTGGGCCAACCAATTTCTTTATAGGCAAATTCCCTTCACTTCTATCCCTGGTGATTTTGCTTTTACTGAGTGTCAGCACCTTGAGGTCAGAAGCTGAATGTTCTATTTCTCCAACATAGGCTCTGTCCATAGTAAATGTTCAATGAATGAATGGGGAGAGACAGATGTTCCTTCCTGTTTGGGCAGAGATATTGTGCTTCATTATTTCTCCCTCCTCTTTGACTTTTCTCAGTCTCCATCACCTAGACATCATCAGGGTGTGCCAGCATGAAGGAACTATTATCTCCTACCCCAACCCTGGTAACCTGGGATGGCCTAATCTTGATAAGCCCCAGTTCCCCTCTGGAAATATGTGTAGAAGTTAAAAGGCTTACTCCCACATAAACAATGCCATTTTAGTTATTACTCATGCAAACCAACTAGTTGTAATTTTAAAATTTAGTGTGCACCAACATGGGTGGTTTTTTCGGAGCAGCAACAGTGAAAATGCACAGCAATAAGCCCTTATACCCATACCACCCAAGCAAGTCATAAAGTGCAAGGATGTGAAGGGAATTACAAAAATCAACACATATAGGCAATAAGAGGACATTATAAAGAAAAGTGTCACAACCACCTGCTTATCCTCATTGATTCATTCTTGAGAATCAATCCAAGATGTCAGAAAATTTTCCTAGTATCAATTTATCATCTGGATCTTATACAGCTCTATCATCTGGACGTCAGCAACAGCCTCTAAGTTGTATCTCTGCTCCCAGTTTTTCTCTCCCCAATGTGTGTTTCTGCACAGCTTTCAGAGTAGACTACTCACTGTCTACAGGACAAAGGTGTCTTAACTACTCACCTGTAACTGGTAGGTGGGTCTGCAGGTCCTGGATTTCATTTGCTTTGAGTCTAAACCCAGTGTTTTGTAGAGCATTTCTTAGGTCACTGACACTAACCTTACCTCCTTAATAAAAACAAGAAAAAGTAGATAAGGATATCACAAAATGAAAAATGCAGGCCATCAACCCCTATCTAGAAATGAAAGCTATTTACATCAAGTTGTGTGGGAGTCAGAACAGAACATGATTCCATAATTTAATTGGGATTTTATGCTGGGGAGAAAAAGTAAAGAAAGAGGCAAAGACAAAAAAATAACTCACGTTATTCTGGTCAAAAAGTAAGATTTTTTTTTTTTTATTGTTGACTCTATTACAGGGGTCCCCCATTTTGCCCCCCTTTGCCACCCTCCACCCTGACCCACCTCCCCAGGGCTTCACCACATTGTTGTCTGTGTCCATGGGCTATGCATATATGCATATATATTCTTTGGTTGCTCTCTTCCTGTCCTCCCCATACTCCTCCCCTCTGAGATCTGTCAGTCCATGGCTCTGGTCCTATTTTGTCTCTCTGACTGGCTTATTAAGTGAGCATAATAATCTCCAGGTCCATCCATGCTGTTCCAAAGAGTAAGAGTTCCTTCTTTTTTAAAGCTGCATTTTGTAAATGTATCACAGCTTTTTTATCCACTTATCTACTGGTAGGCATTTGGGCTATTTCCAGGTCTTGGCTATTGTCAATAACACTGCTATGAACATAGGGGTGCATATGTTCTTTCTGATTGGTTTTGGGATTCTTACCATATATTCCCAGAAGTGGATTGCTGGTTCAAAAGGCAGTTCCATTTTTAATTTTTTGAGGAAACTCCATACTGTTTTCCACAGTGGCTGCACTCGTCTGCATTCCCACCAACAGTGCGCTTGGGTTCCCTTTTCTCCACATTCTCACCAGCACTTGTTTGCTGATTTATTGATAGCTGCCATTCTGACCAGTGTGAGGTGATACCTCATTGTAGTTTTTATTTGCATCTCTCTGATGATTAGAGAAAGATTTGAAACTTGTTACAGTAACAATAAATTACCTTCTATATGTTATTATACATAAAGAAAAACTCTAGTTAATGAAGCAGAATAACAGAAAATTATTGGTGCAGTTTGTATCAAATCATTATAAAATATGAGGATGTACAAAGAGTCAATATAGTGTATACCTATGACCCTTACATTTCTTTATGGTGAGCTGCTTAGTGGCAAAGACTGTCTTTTGCTATCTTAGCACACAAACGAACATAAAGCCTGGTACACAGCCATGGCTCAATAAATGTTATTGAATAAATTGGAAGATGGGGGAAAAATACAAACAGCTGAAACCAGAAATTCTGCATATTCATACTCAGGTTTAGTCACTAGATGGCATCAGTTTCCCAAAGTGGAAAAACATTTTAAATCTTCACCAAAATGAATTTCATATACATGGTTCTAGCTCTCTGTAATAAGAATAAAAAGATTAAGATAGCTTTCAACTCATTTGCATGTGAAAGTTGTTCTAGACTTAGGGTCAGTAATGGAGAGATTAAGGTCAAACATATCAGCAGTAAGCCAGGCATTTATTTGCCTGATGACCTATAGGATGACTAGTTCTTATAGTATATTACACTATTCTAAAATCTGTCAAACCACTTGGCCCACAAAAAGCACAAGATATGATATTCTTACATACATAATTTTTCAGAGACATGTTCCATGTTGCTCATCATAGTATCAATGAAGTCTTTAAAATTCACTACTTTTGTTCCTAAAGGAAAAAGAACACATTTTGTATTGTATCTTCAAGTAATTATTAAAAATATTGAATTGTGTAAAATAAGTTATATATTCAAGGAGATAACATAATTATATTCATCAGCTAATACTACTAAAAATATATGGGTATAGTGGAAAAAGCAATTCAACTTACAGGCAAAAAGTAAACACTGAAAAACACCAAAAAAATTAATCAAAGTCCTTTACTCACAAGTGTACAGCATTTTTAACTTTTAACTTACATTATTTTGTTGTAGCCTTGCAACAATTCAGTAGGATACATAGGTGAAGTAGCTTCATCCAAGTCTGACCAATCTATAAATGCTAAACAAAAGAAACATATTCAATTATTTCATTTACCTGTACAATTTCTAATGTTTAAAAAATAATAACTAAGTCCTCATGAAAGCTATTCAATAAATTATCAGCTGCTTAAATACATACAACAAAGTTAAGTTTAAAAAAACCTAACAGAGATAAAGATCAAAAGATTAAACTATTAACTAGGTTAAATATAACCTGGTGAGTTTTTATTTTTTTAATATATCTTTATTGATTTCAGAGAGAGGAAAGGAGAGGGAGAGACAGAGATAGAAACATCAATGATGAGAGAGTCATTGATCGAACCCACAACCTGGGCATGTGCCCTGACCGGGAATCGAACCCCGACTGCCTGGATCCCAGGTCGATGCTCAACCGCTGAGCCACACCCAGCCGGGCCCTGGTGGGGTTTTAATATATTTAAATACATCTATCCAAAGCTATTCAAAGTTACACTGCTCTAAATTTCAGAACGTGAGATGCATGATGTACAATAGGAAGAGATAAGAAGCAATCTACTTAATGAAGAAAAACTAAACTAAATAATGAATGATAGCAAAGAACATACTAAATTTTTTTAAATGGTCAATGTCAGGATATCAGAATGACCCACAAATTGCAAATTAAATATTATCTTTTTAAAGTGTTACTATTTTATTTTAAAGTTGACTTTACCCCTATGTTGATTCCAGCATTATTTATAATAGCCAAGATTTGGAAGCAGCCCAAGTGCCCATCAGTAGATGAGTAGAAAAAGCTGCGGTTTATTTGCAATGGAATCCCACTCAGTGGTAAAAAAAAAAAAAAAAAAGGAAATCCTACCTTTTATAACAGCATGGGTAGACCTGGAGAGCATTATGCTAAGTGAAATAATCCAGTCAGAGAAAGACAAATACCACATGATTTCACTTACATGTGGAATCTAATGAACAAAATAAACTAACAAACAAAGTAGAAACAGACTCATAGATCCAGAGAACAGACTGACAGCTGTCAAAGGGGAGGGGTGAGTCCGCGGGCTGGGTGAAAAAGGTGAAGGGATTAAGAAAAGAAGAAAAAAGCAAAATTCATACACAGACTACAGTATGCTGACTACCAGAGGGGAAAGGGGGGGGAGGGAGAAGAGGGCAAAGGGGGGATAAACGGTGATGGAAGACTTCTTGGGGTGGTGAACACATGATACAATATATAGATGATGTATTATAGAACTGTATACTTAAAACCTATATAATTTTATTTTAACCATTGTCACCCCCATAAATTCAATAAAAAATTTTTAAAAATAGTTGACTTTACGTTGCAAAATATTATGGGGAAGGTGAAAGTAGCAAAATTATGAGACAGTTATATTATATAATCCACTTATCACCCCCAATTATCGCCTGTTTAAGGAAGAGCGCGCGAGCGCCCCCTTCAGCCAGGAGCCTGCGCTGTGGACTCCCGCAGGCCGCCCTCAGCAGGCGCAGGCGCAGGCGCAGGCGCAGGGGGCCGTCAGCACGCACGCCGCTGCCGGGTGAGAACAAACGCTCTCCCCCAGGCCTGAGTGCACGCCCAAGGGGCAGGGACGCTGCCCAAGCACCGGACCCCCACCCTTCTAGAACTACCGCCCCTAGGGAGGGACCGCTGGATCCGGCCCCTCGAAAGGTCAGCTCGTCTCTAAGTCACCTCGCGGCCCTTTCTGGAACCTTCCCCCTTCTCCGTAACTGTTCTACTAGCTCCTCGCACCCTGGTGCACGCTCCTCCCTCAGCCTCAGAGGCTCTTCCTTCGCATCGCCTCAGCACGTCTCGCCTCCCCACCCCGTCCTCTAAAAGCCGCACCGTGGACCCCCTCTGGTCCCCCCGACTCCCGGCGTCCCACCTACCACCACCCGAAATCCTGTTCCTCCGCGGTCTGCGGTCCTCGCCGCTGCCCCTCGGGCCGTCGCGCTGCACGACGATCGATCGCCCGCTCGGCCGCGTTCCCGGGCTTCGGCGCAGCGACGCTCCGCC